AATAACCCACCTAAATTGTACACCATCTTATTACTGGGAGGTATATTGGAATTCTAGAAATACTAACACTCTTAGCACTTGAGAACTTTGCTGGAAAATGTCTCAGAAGCAATGGCACAGAAATGATGCACAATTTTAAGAGCAATAATTCAGATTTATTCCCCTGGCGGAATATTCTCAAAAGGAATATTTGAAGCTTCAAATACTTGTGAGAAGCAGACAATAGTGTATCACCACAATTCAAACCACATAAAGCATATAAACCCAGGAGACACAGGAAGGAAAAAGTCATGCAGGTGCAACAGATACTGAGATAGCAAAACACTACAGCTTTCCAAAAGAAAAAGCACTTCATTACATTAAAGACAACACATTTGCACCTTTCAAACTAAACCCCAACCTGTTTCAAGAATCAATTAATCAAAACAATTTTCAGTAAGATATTAAGGTGTTGGGGTTTTTCCTGGGTTTTTGGGGTCTGAGGTTTTTGGGGGGCTGGAGGGATGGAGGTGTTTGTTTGGATGTTTTGATTTTGAGATTTTTTTGTTGTTGAGAAGCATTTTATTGGTTTGGTTTGGTTTTTTTGCATAGGGAATCTTAGGATGCAGATTAGCGAGCTAGAACACATCATTTACTTCAGGAGACACATCAGCTTAATGAACTAACTCAAGGAAACTTGCATTTAATTGTTAATTGAGAATGATCTACACTGAGCCTGACCCTCCTCTGCCTGCCAGATTACCAACTCTTATTCTGAAGCCCCGCAAAATACTGAGCCAGTAGTGCTCTTTTCTAATAACCATCCTGGCTAGATCAGCAGATGAAACAGAACTTTAGATCAGTGGCAGGTCTCCCAAGTTCCCACGGTGCCATAGATTTACTAAATGGGATCAGCATGTTCTAAAAAAACATGATAATATGAGGCAAAAAGGTTCCACAGCATCAAGCAGTACAATACTTGAAACCTCATAATCAAAGTGACAGTTTTCAAGTGCCATTTACAATGCCCTAATCTGGAAACATCCCAGATAACCCATCTGATCAACTATTTCACAGATGGAAGCACTTGATGGCTAATTGGCAAGTCCATTATTCAAATAAAATAGCTATCTACACTTCTATTTTCTATATTCCAAGTCAAGGTGTAAACACTCCTTATAAGACACAGGTCACTTCTCTGTCTCTCCCTCCCTTCCCATTTGGATTTTTTCCCTTTCCCTCTGCCATCAAATATGTTAATTCAGAAATACAGAATCAGTTTTATTTTCCATTTATTGCACTAGATCAGTTGTCTGCACCAACAGAACAATGCAAATGAATATTTTCAAAAATCCATCAAGTAATGAAAAATTATTTCAACAGCATTTAAAAGTGTCATTATTTCACTGCTTCCTAACACATCTGGATTCAGAAAAACAGACAGGATGTGTTAAGCATGGACAGGAACTTGTATAGCATAGATGATTGTTCTGAATGCATTAGGGAGAGAGAGGTCTGCTAAAAACACACTTAATTTGCTTACGCTCTTAAATGGTATCCAGTAGAATTGCCTAATACAGGCATATGTGGAACTGATTTCACTTGCAAACAATAGTTCCGCAAACAAAATGAAGAGGAGTGTTGCTCCAAATTCCTGCCTGCTACATAAGTAGAATGCTTTTACGTACCCCACAAAGCCTGTTAATTTGTCTGCAGCAAGTGTACAATGCACAGTGAAGTATTAAATCACTAATGAAATTCTGTGGTAGGCAGTATTCCTGGGGGATGAACAGGGAGAGAGGGAAAAGAATGAACCAGGAAAGGGAAGACAATAACTTAAAAAACCCCAACATGACAAGGGGCAGTAGGAGGAAGAGAGGAAACCATACAGGAGAAGGAAAACAAGGCCATTGCCAAAATATGAAATTCCATGAACTACAGAAGAGCAATTAAAGTAATAAGCATTTTGTCTGGGACATCACAACACTTTCAAACTTTAACTGTTCCCCCACATCTTTTGTAAAAAGCTTCAATCACTCATTCTTCTTATGCGTGTATCATGAGAGCAGAAATTCAAATGCCTACAATATCAGGCATGTAAGACAATTTCTGCGTGAAGCAGTGCTGCAAAGAAGGTCTTAGTTATGGTATCAAGTTCAAAACTAAACACAGGTACCTTCCCATACAAAGAACACAAAGTTTATGATGAATTTCACTGCCAGAAAATACTGTGGATGGCTTATGTGATGGCTTAGTCTCTTCCCTCATCTCTTGTCCACCTGCTGCCCTATGAAGATAGTCTTTTGTCCCCCTAAGACTAAAAGAGAGGAAATGGCTCAAAATTTCTAAGCCACAAGTCACTGGAGGGAAAGTTTGTTGTTGAAATATCACTTTAAGGTCACTTCCTTAAATATTTGTTTATTAGCCACATGAAGACAGGCTTAGGGTCAACGGAATTGAGCACCGACCACCTCTTCAACATTGAAAGCCAATCAGCCGCTCAATAGCACACTGAAGGAGTAAGTAGTAAGAAAAGAGAACCATGAATTCACTGAGAGCACTTTTCAAGTGGAATACAAGACACCAAAAGACTTAAAAAGAAAGTTGTAAAAGCATGAATCCAAACAGCACTTGGGACAGCCTATTTCAGTTGGGAAATGAAGAAAAACAAACAAATGAAAACCTAAACTAGATAATAAACAGTAAAGGTGGTTTTACTAAGGGGAAAAAGCCAAGTAACTGCTGTTGAAGAAGCTAAGACAAGTCAATGAGAAAGAATTCCTTGGCAGCGATCAAATAGGAACTGTGCTGACCAAGCATTCGTAGTTACTTGAACATTAATTACAAAGCAAATCAAACCAACTGTTAGCAAACCTCACGAGATGCAGTCCTCTTTCTAAGCAAAACCCTAGCTACAAGGGAAAAAAAGTAAACTGTGATATAAAATCACTTTGAAAATGCTTCTCGTTTTCTATGCAACTATACACACAGATGACTCTTGTGTTAGCAAGAATGACTGTCAAGTCTTTTTACTATGTTCAACCTTAAAAGCAAAACCTCCAAAGACCGAACAACTGTAACACAGCAACAAGAAAAACAGAAAGCTTTGTACAGTTGTTTAAAGCAGTCTAGTATAAATGAACAGTAATAACTTTGTTTACTTTCTAGCAGGACAAAGTATGTCCAAGAAATACCCAATTTCTCTCTTCTACCTCAAAGCCATCTGATTCACTCTGGATTATCTCTCAATTTCAATTATCAATCAAGCAACATTCAGAAAAGAAGTGAGCTTTGAAGGTCTATTGAAACACCATATTTTAAGGATATAAAATTATTCTTTTTGAAAAGCCTCCCTGCTGATTCAATAAACCAAAAGACTACAAAAGTAGTCAAGATATCCAGTGCAAGCAGCAACTTGTATAAAGAGCAATTCAGTTTTCTGCTTTTCTTTTTTTAATCCAACACATATTCATCAATTCATTTAAGAGACAATTCCATATTTAAACAAACACAGAGCAGCTTTGCAGGCCAAAGCTGTCAGAGGAGTTCAGCGAGCTGCTTCTGAATGTTATGTTCTATTGTCTGCCACAATTTCCTAGCAAGCTTTAAGTTAAAGCTGAGAAATTCAGAAAGCAGCAGAGAGAGTTAACTGTAAATTTGAAAAACAGCTTTGATATGCGTCAAGTTCAGAGAGGACTAAGAAGTGAAAGCTTGAGTGATTAGACTGCACAGATGTTAAAAAAAAATGAAGAGTCATGAAGCAGGCTGGCAGCTCAGAAGAACAAGAGAAATAACTGTTTAAGAAAGTGAAACTAAAAATAACTAAGGGCTGCTTGAAGATTCAGTAAGAGAGCGTGAATAGAATTTTAGCTATAAAAAGGAAAAAAATTATGCACCAAAAGTTACAGCTTATTTGGCAAAAACACCAAGAGGCTGTAAATCAGCTTACAGTATTTCACCAAATGCTTCACTATTAAACCACTCCTTTCCCAGTTACACTGGGCACAAACGCACTACACACAACCAAAAGAAGCTGTGCGCTGAGCAATTTCAGTCATCCCAGAAGCAAACACACACACATCATGAAGCCTAAGGCAAACAGAACTGATTCCTCCAGAAGAAGAGCCTGGATTCCTGATTTAGAACAGAGCCCTGGAGGCAGATGAGGAAAGCAGAGAAAGACCAGCTACCTCGCCCAGCCAAGACTACAAAGGAAATTACACTGGAGCCCTTTCCTTAAGGAAATCATTCTTCCTACAAGCTGCAGACAAAGTTGTTGCAAATTATTTTTTTTCCCCTGTATCCACAGTAGTCAGTACAAAGTAATAGGATCAGCTTGGTTTTATTTTTGAAGACTGCTGGCCACACCAGTTGGCCAAGGAAAAAAGCACTAGGACTTGCTTTAGTGGTAGGAGAAGCCATACAACGTGCGTAGGTCTCCCACTGGAACAGCAGAGGTGCCAGGGAGGCCTTTTTGCTTTGAGCAGAGTTACAGAGGTGAGGACAAAGCATACAAGACAAGACACAATAAAACACACGCAGAGGTGGCTACAACTACCTGCAAGTGATAAATTCAACTCAAATTACCTCCTGAAATTTACATATACTTCAGTATCTTTTAATGCCCATCACAGCATGATCCAAGGACCAAAATACATCATTTATGAAGGAGTAAGTGGGTATGCTCACCCATTTAGAGCAACCTTCATGTTCTGAAAATCCATATTATTGGAAATTAATTTTTAAATTTTATTCTGTGTTTCCAATGCTTTTCAATCCAAACTTTGAAGTGTTCAGACACCAAATGAAAGGTTTATAAACATTCTGTAAACTCAGTGCCAACATAAAAGTTCATACTGACAAAAAAATCCAGTCAGGCTGTAACAATGGTTTGCATACACTTGTATAGTATCTCTGTAGTCAGCAGCTATTACAATGAACTCTGTTTTTTGATGCTGTTTTTAAATTATTCCAGAATTTATTAACATTAAAGAGAAGACATTGACAAGCTATATACTAACCTGTCCCAGCCCAGGCATACCTCCTCCAAGTCGCAGAAGTCTATCCATATTTCTAGAAAACAGAAACAAAGGGAAAATGTTCCCAAGCTCTGAAGTGTTTACTAAATTGCTATCTATATAATTCACCTTCAGTCACTCAGTATGTCAAAAATATTGGTGGTAATTACAACACAACATCAGACTTCCTGTTAATTAACACCACATATTAATTCAAGAAGCTGTCTTCCATGCTAATTAACAGACCTTGTTTTATTGCTTTGGTTTTGGGTTATCCCCAGTTCTGAAGACAAGCACTCTTGTCAAACTTTTCAAAACTTTCCTATCATTCAGTTAATTGGGGGATTTTTGTTGCTTAAGAACAGCACCTACATCCAGGAAGTGCCTAAAACTTATTAGATATACAATCAAGTTTACTCCAATTTGCTCAGAAAGCATCAATAAAAATGTGAAAGTAAGGATTTTAGCATCCTCATTAGTAAGTTCTGCGCTAATTAACTTACAGCTTGTCAGTTATCATCAAAACTACATGTGAAAGACACTGAGCAGATTATGGATCTCTGAATTAGCATCAAAAGCTTTTTTTTAATGAACTCATTATACTAAAAGAAATACTGTAAAGTAAACATTTAATGTGTATATAGTTAGAACACTAGTGACAGTACAGTCATTTAATACATTTCCAGGGTTGCATGTGCCATTGCTTTAGTGCAAGATTATTCCAATCAATGTAACTAACTTGTTACTTAAAAAAAAAAAAAGAAGCTTTTCTATCTTGCAACTTTCACATGAGTGATCTATAGGAATAAGAATTGTTAAGGTGCCCAACTAAAAAATATTGCACTGATGTTTATTTGTCTGCAGTTTATTCACTTTCTATTGTTGAAAGGCAATCTACTATTTAATTGTGGGTATCTAAGTAAGGGTTCTGTCTCAGCCATAACAAACCTTTATCTTGCTTACTTGGCTTTTGCAACTTCTTAGTTTTATACAACAAAACTAAGTGATAAAATACTGAGTATTACTTTTTAAACAGCTGCTTTCAGCAAATCCAGCCAGTTCCAAGGCTTACAGTAATGAGTAAATTTTACTGGCTTGTTTTATTTGTGAAATAGAAGATACAAAGTAAAGCATCAGAAACTATGATCATAATTGCAGAAGTTTTAATACAACACAACAAAGCCTGTTCACGTGAAATAAGAGCAATTGAGAACAGCAAGTAATGTTATTTCCAGAATACATTCATCCTCAAAATCGACGTTACATTACACATTAGAGAATTATACGCATAATTTCAACAGACCACATTAACAATAGTAATTCAAGAAGCTTCTTTTAAAATTAATTATGCAAAAGAACTTTGAACTTACCATGAAAAATAAATTTGCTCTGTATATTAGAAATAAAAGTTTTTATGTTGAAGGTCAATGTCATCGGGTTATTCCTCCTGAAATTTGCTAATATTTTTACTGGCTAGATACCAACAGACTTTATTTCAGTTTAAGTTTAAAACAAGTATTTTAAGCTTCTTGTTAACACACAAAGGGGCAGCATTTAAACCCACCACTAGACAAGATTATCTAACTCCTACTTTAATCATGTATGGAATTTCACCCATTTTAAACAATATCTAAGACACATGGATCAATAACACTTGCTCGATTTGCTAATTTTACTTTCCTGGTTTAATGCAGTAGCAAGCTATTAGCTTCATTTGACTCACTACCTTGACTCTGTAGAACATGCAAACCCAACAACTGCAGCCTCAACTAACAATAAGTACTTTCTTAAAGCTACCTTGGCACTTTATGAAATAAAAAGGAGTTTATTAAAGGGCCAGTGGTTATGCTTTTCTTTTCAGACAGTCATTGAAACCAAGCTTCTTCATTACAAGCAAAAGCTGCACACAGAGTATATATAGTTTTCTATCCTGAACTACAATAAATTCCAAATCAAGTTGTAGGATATCCATGGAAAGGTTAAGTTGCTGTTTAAAGCTATTATGTAAGGACATGGTAAATGGCTCCAATAATACAGTCACGAGTACAAATTAACGCCAACTACATTTCATTTTACCCCTCTGTGGTAGATACTCCTCCATTGAAACCCACAATGATTCATCTTTCATGACACTAATGAGGGCTGAAGAGTAGCTGAGAAGTAGATTTAAACTACCAAAATGATGATTTTAATCACTCATGGTTGTACATTTATTTTAAGAAACTCTTTTAAGTCTCTACGGCTGGTAACCATAAAATTGGGCTTTCCTACAACTACAGCAATTTCCATAAGCTGATGAGGTGCATTACCTATGTACATTTAAGAAATAATATTGAATAACAAATCTTATACCTATTTATATTTCCCTTTAGCAAGTAAAAAGCAATAGTTATTTCTAGATCATTAATATTTTCTTCACATAATTTATTCCCATTTCTAACCCAACAGAATAGTACATCATTTATGGAAGCATATTTTGCTGTATTAAAGTTGGATTAGACTAATTAGTTATGCAAACTGATTATTTATCAGCATAACTTTTCATGTTTTGGAACAACAAAATCTCATTGTCTTACAGAGTTGGAGGGATGTAACATTTCCCACCTAACTATCACAGACTAGCCACTGAACTGAAGATATTCAGATTCTCAAGACATTAGCACAGAGAGAAAATCTCCACAAATGAGTTCTAGATGCACTGCAAATTATTTCACTAGTGCCGTAGCTTGACTCTGGTTAGTTCTGGCAACTAATACTTTACTTTCTTATTTGTAACTGAAAATGTTTTAGTAGGTTATAGTATATTTAGATCTAAACATATTTGTTTACTCTGTATAAACATCTGAAGAATTTAGGTTAGCAATCCAAATTAAAACTAATTTTATTTTTTGTTAATCCACTGTGCCCAAATATTATTTCAGCTATAAATGCCGTTTATGAAATAAGGCTTTTGTCAACCTTAAAACAGCTTGAGCAAAATTTTTAGACCTTAGTTAAGATAACTTTAGCATTTACAAATAAAGCAAACGCGCATTTCTAACCTGGTGCTCAGCAAGAGGTGATCACAGAACAAACTCAGCAGCAGCAGCTCCCGCTTTTTGACTACAAAGATAACGCCAGTAGGTCTCTTTCCTACAGAAGGAAATAGAAAGGAGGGGAAGGGCAGAAAACCAATAAACTTTAGAAATAGTAGCACATGTAAAAAGAAACATTACATTGATGGCCTACAGAAAGACAAAGCACCATTGAAGAATAACCCAAAGAATCCTTCTATTTTTTTTTGCTTGTATCATTAATCCCTGGAAGTGGTACATGCCACATCTTGCTCAAGTATCTGTAACACTGAAAGAAGTCTCCAAGTTTCTCAAAATTACATGGAAGAGCAAAGTATTTTAATAACCTGTTTAAACAATTTAAAGCTAATCAATAATGTGAAGTGCTGTTAGAAACAGAAACTATGGTCCTTTATTACTATTTTAGAATATTTTGCCCTGGCTAAGATGACCTAAGCACAAAGCCAAAGAGCAGTCTGCAAGGATGGATGGTTTTCTTGTCTATTTCTGCAAGAGCAGTTGGTGTGACTGGGAAAGTCACAATGGCCTTAGGTTTGCCTGAATTCAGGTTGAGAAAGGCTGCTTCACATTCAGTTTAGGGGTTAAAAGTCGTGCTGTCCTCCTCCCAGAGAATACTGGCCACTAACTGCAGCCACTCAATCAGTTGCAGTTCGGTGCTTTAAAAGAGATCTGTGAAATGATCTGTAGCCATGATTTGATAGGCATTTTTTTCAATGTCAATGTTAACATAAGGAGCAGTGGGGAAGCTGCTGCTGCTGCTTACCAACTTGATGCTGCTTTCTCAGTACTGCCAGGACAGCCATTTGTGCAGCCTTGCAGCAAACTGATAGGCTAACAAAAATGTTGTTTTTAACCCTGTTCACTTCTCTGAGAGGATTCACACTGCATCCCAGAAACAGTTGTCTTGGCATAACAGAAAAAGAGGTCTTGGAAGAGCCGATTGCTTTTAACACTGATCCAGACTCCAGAAGACATTTATGTCAAATCATTAAGCTAAGGCTGCCCAAAGAATATGTTTGGGTTTTTTTGGTTTGTTGTTTTGGTTTGTTTTGTTTTTTGGGTTTTTTTTTTTCAGTAACTGAGGTAATTTAACAGATACCCTTCTGAACCTCATACCAAAGAAGTTGCCCTGGTTTCAGCTGGGATAGAGTTAACTTTCTTACTAGCAGCTCGTATAGGGCTGCGTTTTAGATTTAGGATGAGAATAATGTTGATAATACACTAATATTTTAGTTGTTACTAAGCAGTCAAGGACTTTTCAGCTTCTCATACTGGCCTGCCAACAAGGAGGCAAGGGGCACTGAAGAAGCTGGAGGAAACACAACCAGGGCAGCTGACCCAAACCGGCCAAAGGGATATTCCATACCATATGACATCATGCTCAGTATATAAACCAGGGGAGTTGACTAGGGGGGTGGGGTGGGGAGCAATTGTGTTGTGCATCACTCCTTTTGTCACTTTGTATATTTTATTATTATTATTTTCTCTTCCATTGCTGTCCTATTAAACTGTCTTTATCTCAACTTGTGATTTTTCCTGATTTTTCTGATTCTTCTCCCCATCCCACTGAGAGGGAAGAGACGTGAGCGAGCAGCTGCATGGTCCTAGTTGCTGGCTGGGGTTAAACCACAACAGAAATAGAAAAGCAAAGGAAGATGTGTTAATCTTCCTGGAAGGTTAGAGGAGAAAGAACAAGTCAGTTTCTTGGTGCTGACAGGCTGGGGTGGAATTCCACTAACAAGTCAAAAGAAAAGTTGCTACATTTCTGCCAGCTTTGCACAAGGAAATGATCCAGGAGAGATCATATGAGACAGGAACACAACAGCCAGCAGTTGTATTAGCACATGCTGCAACAGAACTGCAACCAGTTCACAAGCGGACTTCAGAGTTACAACCCAATGCACATTTAGCCACCCGAGGGTCTTGCGTTCCCTTCCCCACTTCCTACAAAGATATTAAAGAAACAGATCTCTGTGAGCTTTGTTGGTTCCCTGAGGGAGGCACAGCACATGGTAACCCATAGTTGAGAATTTCTCTGCTGCAAACTGCAAAAGGCTAGTTTTGATTACACACTTACCTGTTGTTTTTTCCCCCTATATACACAAACACATATACACTTCCAGGTATATATAAAACCCACAGAAAAGTAAACAAACAGTTCACATTAAATCTTGCCTCCTTTCCTTCCAAAGTCAGCAAACGGTATTTCAGTAATATTTTCTTCTGTCTGCAAGGAAGAGTTAACAGTCTCTGTTTAAAGTGAAGCTTTAAGGAAGTGAGTACACGTATCAAATATCCATACCAGAAAATTGCAGAAGGCCAGTTATAATCATCATGAATTTGCATTGTGGTGCACTGCAGGATTTGGATGATATGCAGTCATTGAGATCAATGTGGTCACTGATGGCTTAAAAAAAAAGTTAAGCAGCTTCTCTGCTTGTTTATGTCTGTGATTGAAACATCTCAGCTAAAAAACCTTGGTCATAGGATGGTATTCAGAAAACCCAAATCTCCACCATTGCAATTTTCTTTTAACTGTCCTGGCCTCAAAAGGGAAAAGTTTGCAGTTACTAATAATGCAGTGGAAGCATTACAGAGAGCATCTCAAAACGGATCTGAAAACAGAAATTTTTAAAAATCTAATATCTGTTCATAATACTACTGTTAGGTAACTGTAATAATTGACAACAGTTGTCCATTTGGAGAGCTCCGGTTCACCATTCAGTTGCTGGCTATTACTTTCAAGACACTTAAATGTTGACTTAAATGCTGACTTTTAATAATGAAAATGCATTGCACACAAATGTATACATACGTCTAGGTATAAATCAATAGCTACGGTGCTTACACTTGGCATGTTTCACCATGTATTTTGAAATCGACTTGAAACAGTCTTAAATTACTGCATCTCTTTGCATGAGACACATGAGTTTCACACTACAGTGCACTATTTTTATCTAGCATTAGCACTTCATGATGCAATCCCTCAATGAAAGAGGGTTCTCCTGGGTTGACAACTTTTGAGTTGGTAAATAAAAAAAATAAGTAAAATCAAAATTAGCTTCAACATATATGGAAGAGAAAACACTGGCTACTAAACTGCCCTATTAGTGGAGAGAGTATCAGGCTAGACTCAGGTGACAGCAGTTTACTCCACACTTTGCAATTTGTACGCTGAGTGACTTCATGCAAATAATTTCATCTTTGGTAACTCAGTTTCTTCACCTAAGACTACATACTAAGCTTTGTATAAGCACTTCCAGATCTCCTCCTGAGAAGTTCCACATTAGCAGATGGATTAACAATCTTCTTAACAGAAACCAAAAACATGGTTTAAGGTTCTTGCTGCAACTGTAACATTTTCAACTTCACTAGGGATGATAAAGGTAAATTAGTTGAGGAATTCGATCTTGCAGATAAACATTATTTCACAGAGAAAAGAACAAAAATTCACTGCAGCTAAAGTCAGCAAATGCTGAGTGACAGAAACTTGAACCAGAACAGAGATTTCACACGTGACAACAGGGTGGGGAGAAGTCTATCTTTCTATAAATTTTGTATTAAAAGAGAAGAAAAAAAAAATTACCATCAATTCTCAGTATTCTGTTCACTAAAGCTAAAGATTAACCACACCATGAATGAATGCAGTCTCAGTAGTGTATGTCCAGAGTTGACTATTTCACTTCCATAATGTGCTCAGCCCTGTTAACCCCATGTTTCTGGACTATATAGACCTGAATCTCAATAGACCTGAGCTGGACTAGAAAGCAGGCAGGTTAGCTTCTCAGACTCTGCTTTCTGATTTCCAGAAGCACAGCAAATCCAATTGTACTACATTAACTGCTGAACTGCAGTACTAAAGTAACCCAGATGCAAGCAGACTCCTCTAAAGCTACTTAAGTATCTCCACATGAAAATTATAGGTAAGGAGAGATTCATTAACAAATTACACCACCACAGAAACCCACAAAATTAATTTTAATTTTATGCTATGTATAAAACATCTAGCTTCTCTGAAATCTGCAAGAGAGAGGGTAGGCACACAACTGTTGTGGAACTGCCCCCCGCCACCAACTCCAGCAAGTACACATCACACCAGTTTTCTATTACTCAGGGTATCATAACTACCTGTCCTTTCCCCATCATCCTAGATCTTAGGAGATAGATAATTGTAGCTACTATTAGTGTACACTCCACAATGCTTGTCAAGATTGAATCACTTCCTGGAAAGTTTATAAACCTATCAATATTTTGGTATTATTTAATCTCAATTTTGAAGTGTGCTCTAACTTCTAATTTTCTTAACCATAGATATCAAATCAAAATCCCTGATGTTATAACAGCTGATGGAACACAAATCTGTCATTAAGCTATGGGCAAAACCTAGTTGCTCACAGCCACATTAAGTGATTCAGAAGCAATCAATTTGAAAATCAATTTCTGGATTTCTTCAAAACACAAATCTTTTCCTTGTTTCCATAACATAAGCTCAACAGAGCACAACAGTGCTCTTCTTGGCAGAATCTTCTTCCAAGTGTACTCCCTATATCCAAGGCATGCAGTACACCTTGGACTCACAGGAGGTGAAAGCTTTAAGATTAACACAAACATCTCAGACTTTTCAGCTTGCTTAGTAGCTTTTCAGCCCTATGCAGCTTTCAAATACATTTGCATAAAACTTTTTTAAAAGTCAGTCTCGATCCTTGTTGGTTTTCTGATCTTCTAGTGTACTGGAAACATGAACAACTTTACGAGATGACATCAGCACACATTCAGATTCATCAACTGTTTACAAGTATCCAACTACATCACATCGTTCTGAAAACGATTCCTAAGTCTGCTGCGCGCTAGAAACAGCACTGTTAGTTTTGATTAGTGCTCCTTTTCTACTTGATTCTGCTTCATCTTTCCTGACACAAATTGAAGATTCCTTCCCCTTCACATATCCCAGCCAGCGTTTTGCCCTCACTTCCCCCTCCCTCTATCGAGCCGTGCAGCGCTGAGGATCGTCGTAATGCTTCGCTCCAAAAGCAGCAGAAGCGTTTCAAATCCGTCAAGTCCCTCTGATAAGAAACGAATCGCTGCTTACCCTAGAATAAACTGCTGCTCGGAGGCACCGCCTGCGACACTCGGCGTCCCCGGACACACGCCAGCGGCTGCAACCCAGAGGCTGCCGAGGCGAAACACGGCGGCTGCTCCCGGCCGGGAAGGCAGCAGGGCCACCCCGGGCCCGTGAGACGCCGAGGCCCAGGCGGGCCGCTCCGCCGACGGACCCCTCCCT